CTTTCCCTATTGTCTTTATAAGTCTCCCTTTGGGTATTGGACAATTTATCAAAATCATCACTCATTCTTCTCTCTTCCATACTAAATAACTCTACTTCTTTCAGCCTTTCCTCATAAGTCATGCTTTCCAGGCTCTAATATTTTTTGTCGCTCTCCATTGGACTCTTTCCAATCTGTCCATAACCTTGGAAGCATGGCACCCAAAACTGGACACATAGTACTGCAATTTAGGCCTCAGTAGTGCCAAACAGAGTGGAAGAAACACTTCTCTTTATCTGTAAGCAACAATCCTGTTAATATAACCCAGTATGCTGTTGGCTCCTCTTTTACAACAAGAGCACACTGCTGGCTCATTTCCAATATTATATTCTAACAAACGTTTGTTGCAATTTTAGAACCAAGAACTGAACAAATTTAAGTCACTGAAAATTTCATAAAGCCATCCAACCTAATTTAAAAAGCTATTCATTAAATCTCAGCCATGAATTTCAGCCAAAAGGGAAACGATAATTACGTCAATGAGCATGAGCAGTAAGGTACTGAGAATACTGACACTGGGTAGGGACATTATACCAGTTTATGTGCAAGTGACTGGAAAACAGTTCAAATCTGTAACACAACACTAGTTCAGTGCACATAAAACCTAGATGGATGTAGTATCAGACTTAACTTATTTAGGTTAAGTCAGTTTACTGAACTTCTGTCCCAGATCCCCTCCAAATTCAAGTTAATTCAGTCTCCCAGCATCCCAGGATACTTTGCACCTCCCCTGCAAATACCCCCTGCCCCCCCACCGGTTGGCATGTTAGCCTTGACCCAAGCTGTCCGTTCCAGCTGAGCAGAAGGGAGTGCTCTAGTGCCCTTTGGTTTCTGGCCTGAGCCACTGAAGGCATGTGGCTGCATTTCCGAAATCAAAAGTGAATGCCTGTTCACTTGCTTAAACAGTTTGATCTACACAGTTTACACTAACCTGCAGAGATTGCATTGATTTAGCCTCAGGCTTTTTGACTGTCCGTACTTAGCCAAAAAGCAAATACCTTAGATTGCTAGAATATCAACAAACTTTCTATAAATAGATTTTTCTAACAATATTTGTTTAAAAAAAAAAGACAAAAGAAAAAAAGAACACAATAATTCTTCTTTTTTCCTAATAAAAATGAAGTTTATATTTTAAACATTTTAATGTTTTTAGTTTCAGCAGTGATATGGTTTAGATCTATGCTTGGAATAAATTAATAGACATCACTAGTTGCATTTTAGTCTGTTTTATCAAGTTGTGTTATACACTTAGCCCATGCTGCATTATACAG